CATGTAAAATAGTGATATTTAGCTGCGTTTGAAAGCGTGGAAGCCTTTCAATACTTATAGAAATACATACAAATTAAGATTATTGTTAAAAATTGTTTTAGATATATGAAAATTACATAAAATTTAAAGGAGATGATCAGCCAGGGGATTAGTGTAAAATCCATTATTATAAACGAAACAAATTAATATCAAAAAAAAGAAGGATCTCATCAAATCTGTGCATTGGTTTTAACCTTCAAAAAAATACGCTGATATATTCAAAAAAATATAATTGCGAATGAAACGGTACCACTTTTATGAGATATTCACATACAGGGCTGCAAATTTTTTGATTAAAAAATTTGGGATTAAAAGTTAGATTTTCATTTTTAATCCAAGATGTTTGGGATTTAAAATTGAAAATATTGCAATACTTTTTGATTTGAATGAACACGAAATGTTAATTCCAAAGCAAATTATTTTTTAGTTCTTAATTATATGCTTACGATTCGTTACGATTTTTCATTCCGATAGTTGGGATTTAAAACCAAAAATAAATTTTTAATCCTGTTTTTGGGATTAAAATTTTTTTATTTTTATTTTAATGCATTAATTACAACTCTGTTCACATACTAATCTTCATTAAATTCAACTGGATGACTTCACATGCAATTTTATTGGCAAAGATAGCAGTGGGTTTACCACAGGAAGCAGAGCAATTACGAATATAATACAACTAGATTCTATTACATCACCAGGGTTGACTTTAAAAAAGTAAATGTATTTTATGTGCATTTAAACACCGCTTTTATTTGCCTTGTGGAAAATTTGGCCCACAATTACGCTCAGAACCTCTGCCGCCTCTATCGTTTAAACGATTGTCGACAAAATGAAAAACAGAAGCTACAAAAAAGACAATACATTCGCTAATTGTTTGATGTTCCACATGAAGGCACCGCTAGAAACGAGCCGATAAATTTAATCAACTAGCTTCACAAAGAAAGACAGTAATTAAAGTTGGATAATGCAGGGGCGCGGCGCATCAGCAACGTCCAGTTTACAGTATAAATTTGTACAGTTTTCATGTCACATGTAAATAATTTCGTGTTAACAATATCGCACATATTATACATATGTACCTTGAAATTGTAAATAAGTACATTTATTTACCAGCCCACAATTTATCAGCAATCGCTCGTGTTAGGGAAAATATTACCTGCGTCAAGCTGCGGCATCACGTGTTGACTCTTGTGCGAAATGCAAAACGTAAGTTTGTAAGTTTTTGAAAATGTATTAAATTTAATTCACCGATTTTGCATTATCAACTGATTTTGTTGTACAACCTTGATTTATTGGCTGCGCTTGTGCTAACTTTAACATTGTCAATGTAACCATGTGATGGATGTCAGCAGGAAATGTACTCGCGAATTTATGTAGCTTTGTATATTTTTGCATATAAATATATATGTATGTAAGCCAGAAGCACTCGCACTTAAATGCAATTGCAATAAGTAATCGTATCTTCGTCACGTTGATCGTTGACATTTCAATCGCCAAGGCTTGTTATAAAACCATTTACGAGTAGACCGCAATCACACACACATACACATATGTACAGACATACATACAAATGTAGACAAATGTTAACTTGGTAATGTTCTTGAAATTGGTAATCAATCCGAATGGGAAATAAGTACACTTGCGGGAACGCTACGAAAATAACTTAAACTAATGCATACATGCATGGTTTGCACATTATATTAGAGTTGATCAAAATATATTGTAGTTTTATATTCAATTATATGATTACAATTAAGAAAGTCACTATTATATATTGTAATAAATACTTCTTAATTTAGTCAATTAACAGATTATCTGAATTTATGTCATATGAAATAGTGATAATTGATTCACTTCAAGAGACTTTCTGAAACCTCTGTATTTTCATATTCTTATCCAAATAAAACTGGGATAATTTTTGTTTTCATTTGAATAATTTCAAATATTTAAAATTAAGAAAAACTTTATTTGAAACCCCTTAATTTACACAATGAGCGAGTAGTCTACACTACTACAATATGAGAAAAAATGCTAATGAATTCACGTAAGGAACTTTTTGACACTCCACTAATAAATATATAAAAGCTTGAAAATTTTTATTTATTTTTATTTTTATTTATTTTATATTTATTTAAACGTTTTGAATTACAATATTTCAATTAAAAATTTATTTTATCATAATAGATTACTCATAGAACGCGTTAATTTTTGCCTAATTCAATAAAATTTTAAATAGAATGCTAATGGACTCAATTAAGAAGCTTTCTGAAGCTTTTTCAAGTCGTTTCTCAAAATGAGACTAGGCGCATATAACCATACGAATTAAATTTTTAGCTCCACTTCGTTAAAAAAGACGAAATTGCATATTAGTTAGTTAAAATAGCTTAACAACGTAGCATAAAGGGCAAAAAGCCTAGTAGACCCACTAAACACGAAAAATTGTAGAAGTAGCTGTAAGAAATGTCAATGACATTAATTGAGTCCGCTTGCCAAACCACATATTAATCAGCTAATTTCAACTTTCTGATAATGCATTTTTCTGACCTAACTGCAAAAGAACGCTGCGCTCGGTTAAATATTGGTCAAAGCGATTAAAATTTTAAATTAATAAATATCGAAGTAAAGGGAATAAGAATATATGTAAGTAAATATGTATATTCAGACAAAATGTAGAATCCATACTTTTAAATCTGGAACCAGACCGAATCTAACTGAGTTAGAGGCAAAGAGAAAATAAAATAGTATGTTAGTGTTTTATCAAAGTGTTTTTTGCAAATACTTAGCATAAAAATTAAGTGGTAGTATCGCTATTGCTTTTTTTACAAATTGGTGAAATTTTCAGCAACTAAGCACGTCAGAACAAAAACATGTACAATTTTCATACAAATACACACAACCAATTAGCAGACAAACATTTGCTTACTTCGAAAATCATGAATGAAATCTACAGCCATGTGTAATTTCCCGCATTCCAAGAAGAGAAGTGAGAGAAAAAGGGGGTATAAATAAGCAAATCCCCATTCAGCACAAAAATTTCACAATAATTAAAAAAACAAAACATAAATTCTGTCTTCAGCAGAATTGTATAAAAGAACCGCATAACTTGCTGGCGAAGCACGTCATTTCATCAATGAATATTGTGTTAAAATTAGCGGAGGGTTAATAAATAAAATGTAAATAACATAATATCAATTTATACATACATACAATACATATACAATATGTACATTTGTATGTATGTATGCATGAGAGCACAAATCAGTGCAAAAAATCCCAGACGCTAGTCATTCAAAACTATGAATGGAATGCTAAGTGATATATGCGTACTTTGCATACAATTTGCAATAACTGCCTATAAAAATATGTACATCTTCATTAACATGAAATCGCAGAGACAGACGAATGATAATCAATTCGCAATGTTACAAGCATTGACATGACAATAATGGGCTTGAACGATGGCTAGCGGCGAAAAACCCTTAATTATCAATTGAAAAGTATATATGTACGATATCATACATATATAAGTATACGTATATAAACAAAGTGATTACTATGCAAACAATGTAAAATAAAAATACGTAATTCGATTCTGTTCGATTACTGCAAAAAAAAAAAAATCACTGTACAACAACATTATGCAAACTTGCAATGAAACATACACGCATGTAGCGCATGTTGTTGTAGGCGTTTAATGGCTCATCAAAAACAGGTCAGGTTTATATGCCTGTACTTACGAGCGTACAGCATAAATTTTGGCCTATTAGCGTGCGAGCATATAACAAAAAAAAAATACTATAACAACGAGGGCATATTAAATATTTTTAGTATGTACACAGAAATATTTTTATGATAGCAGTCATTTCTAAAACAATATCAAAGCACCTAACGCTAGCAGTGCACAAAACAACAAAAAATCACCAAACAAATTATGTGGAAGGTTGTCGTTAATGCGGGGAAATAACGCCATAATTAGTTGAGGGTTGGCTTATAAATGTCTAAAATTATGTTGGTTTTTTTTATTCGGCGACAAATCGTCCAGATGAGGCGTTTATAAAAATTTAGTTCACTGTTGGAATACCATTTTTATTATTACAAAAAAGTTTAACGTATCCGAGGTGTTTAATATTCTCGATTAAATGACTAAGAGCGCAACGCCATACCATAATTTCCAGGCGGTTTACTATTAGGCAATAATACATATTAAGAAAATTATTGCTGAATACAACGGCATTCAGGGATATACTTGAAAAACCTGATAGTCCGAAAGCAAAGATTCCTAATTCTATATAAAAATCTCCAAGCGCTTTACCATTCAGCGCTTATTTACCTTAAGTAATTGTTTGCTGAAAAGTGCTGGATGACAAAATATCTAAATCTTGATGTGTACTCCAAAATTTTAAAAATAAAATAAAAGCTTCTTAACTTGTATTTTTTTTAACAATAATTTAATGTAGTATAAAAAATTTGAATAATAAACTAGTTTCAAAAAATATAAACAAGGCAACTAAATTATAAGAGGAAATTACGGAAAAAATTTGATAAGATTACAATATAATTAAAAATTCGAAAAAAAAACGGTTGTGGCATTCAGCATAAGTCATTTGACAGCTGAATAAAACTCTTACTTTCAAAAAACCTTATAGAGAGTACATTAATTAAGACGACGCTAAGGAGTCTACATTCCTATAATATAGCCTTCAAGACTTTTGGATTGCAGCTTAATTCAGCTTAAGTTAATGATAGCTGATAGAAAGGCGGAATACGCAAAGACTACAAAGGCTTCGTAGATTTGTAGAAATTTTAATTCTTCTAAACATATTCAACTATTCTCACAAAAGTGTCATAAAAAATGTTTACCTTCTGATCAGCGATATGTGATAAAAATTAAAAAAAAGAGCTTAAGACGACATTAACAAAGACTGATTAATTAAATAAAAATATATGCACGCAACACTTACGGTTTTTCGTTTAAGAATTCGCCACGCGTAAACTCCGACAGGCGGCGCGACTTGGCTTTCTTGGTGAGAGCCAGTGCTGAGCTACTGCCCTTCGCCGTCGACGCCGCAACTGGGTGACCATTGTTCGCGGCATTTGTTGTAGCGCTTGATGACGCATTCAGACGGAAATTTTTGAAATCCTCCAGCGAAGCGCAAGCACAGTCGGCATTACCGACACACAGCGAAGACGGAGACCATGGCAAAAAAGCGCCGTTTTCTTTATCCGTTGTCGTTGTTGCGTTTGAGTTCAGTGTGAATGTCAAGAAATTCGGGCACGTATGTGTATGCTGTGGTGATTCGTGTTTATGGTGTTCACGACTAAAGTTATGCCGTTGCCATTGCACTGTCGTTTCATTGACCGTAGTTGTGGCGCATGTGCACAAATCTTCATTGCTGCTCGAAAAAGAAATGGGTGAACCATCGCGCGAATCGCTGACCAGCATACAATTGCATTTAATGGGCATTTGATTGGACCAACGGCGCAGTGGTGAGCGTTCTTGACGCACCCGACTCGGTTCGAAGCTTTCCAGCGATAGTTTTTTGACCAGAAACCTTTGAGCCGCATGAGCGCCGGACCGCTGCAGGCAATTATGCTGCTTCAGATTGCGACGCGGCGACGGTGGCGAAGGTGTGGCAGGTGGGGAAATCAGTATAGCCGCAGCTGCAGCAGTGGTGGAAATGGCATCCAGCGAGCTGGATTTCATAATAGGACCACCAGAATTTTTCTGCAAGCCGGCAATTGAGTTGGCGCGGTTTTGTGCCACAATGCGCGCATATAATTCCTCGCTGTCCAACGGCAATAGTTGCGGCATGCCAACGCGTCGCTTGTGCTGGACATGGTGCTTTGATTTTGATGTGTCTTCGGCGCAGTCCGCAGGTTCGGGCTGCTCATCGATACGTTCGCTGCTCGACGACTTCTCCGACTTGGAATGTAGCTTACTATAGGACAATATATTAGACAGTCTTCTCATTTTGTTTGGCTTCGTTGTTTTGACAGACTTCTGCGCATCACAATGGGCGGCATCGTCGCCATGCCGCAGCTTATCGGCGACTGTACCTGTATTGTCCACATTGGATGTGTGTATTTCTAAGCCGTGCTGTGCAGTTGTCGGCATGACAGCGGTTTCATCGATTTTGCTGACGATAAAACGATTCTTTGATTCTTGATGCGTCGCGCCTGAGGTTGCGGACGTCAGCGCACTGCATGCATCCGATTTCTCCATTTGCAAGATGTCGTAAATCGTACCATATTTGCGATTGTTGCCCAAACGCGCAGTAGAATTTGTGGCTGTGGTGACCGAATTTGACGCGCTGCGGTCATCCATACACGTTGCCTGCAACGCGTTGCTCTGCGCCTGTTGTTGCTTTTGTATAATATCGTAAATCATTGTGGGCTTTAATGGTTTGTGTTTATCCTTTCCTTCGCTGTTGTTATCTTTTTCCGTCTTCGTTGAGTTATCGCGACGGTCATGCCGCGCGGCGACATCCTTTTCCAAAATAGCCGAAAGACTTTTGCGTTGAAAGAAGTCGCCCGCACTTGTGACGGACGAAGCGGTCGAAGAGGCTTGCGATGTTTTACGGTGCAGAATCTCGTAAATGGTGCCATATGTCATATATTTGTCATACTTATGGTATGTTAGATTGTAAATGTCATTCTTGCGTTGAATGATGTCATAAATGGTGCCATAAACAAGCTTATCGTAGATTTTGAAGTTGCGCTTATAGTTATTACCACCGCAGACACCTTTGCTGATGGACGCTGACGCCGAGGGTACAATAGCACCGACGTTGCTTGGTTGCTGCACCTCACTCACACTTGCGGTGGACCCAGCGTCGCACACCGCGGGCGTAGTCACTATGGAGCCTGCCGAAGCTGCCGCTTTTTGCTGCTCTTTTAGTGAGTTGCGACGCATCAACAAAAATGATGCGTAACTTTTACGATGTCGCGAATTTTGGCGTTTGAATGGTGTGATCGTTGAGGCTGTCGGCCCGCCGGCCTCGGCCGCTTCACTACCTCTTTCCAAGGTGTCCATTGTTTCACATTCGCGCACCAAACGTTTGAACTCCTCGTACGATTTTCGGCGTATGTGCGCTTTTTCTTTCTCTTTGGCCGCAAGCACCTTTTGATCGAGTATTTGTGATAGAAAATCCGAGTTCTTACGCAAAATTTCTGTGGTTGACCGTTGCGGTATTGTCGTTTGCGTCGTCGTCGTCGTCGCTGTGGTTGGTGGTGTTTTCAGTGGGGCGGACACGTCAGCAGTATCCATTTCAGCTGTGCGCACCACAAACTTGTTTACACAATCCGGTTTCGTGTTGCTGTTCACTACAAATGTGTCTAACTGGTCGGACGCAGCACCGATTTCATGATTGGCAAGTGTAGACGCGGCGCTTTGCAGGGCATTAACAGCCGCGTTACCGTGACTCTCTTCGCCTGTGGTCGCAGACTGTTCTGATATAGATTCTAATGCGTTCGACATTGTCGCCCCAGTCAGCGTCGTCTGTGAAACCTCGGACATAGTAGTTGTTGTTGTTACATGCGGTAATGCTGTTTGCATTGTCATTGACGCAGCGTATTGAATTTCCTTTTCCAAACAATTGCCAGTACGTGCCAGCAGCGCCTTACGCCGCGCACATGCTTCCGATACCGCACCATGCGCGCCATCCAAATGCGTTGCTGCGGCAAACATTGCTTTGAATTCTTCATAGGACTTGCGTCGATTGCGCGATTGCGTCAAACATTCCTTGTAGTTGAGGCGCGCTATCTTCTCGGGAGCATCGCACGGTTCCGCCGTATTGTAGCCAACACGCACATTATTGCCATTAGTTTGCACTGTGGAATTTTCCAGATCCGTCACACTGCAAACGCCGTCAAAAATTTGCGCCAGCGAAGGCCGGGCATTTGCAGCGTTCGCGGCAGAAGCGGCATAGAGTAGTGCACCAGCGGCGCTCTGCAACGAGCTCTCCAACTTATTCTGCATTTCAATAAAGCCAGAATCCATTGAACTAATGGTGCAGGTTGAGTCGAAACTTGTTTTGCGACTGGAATTATTGCTCGACGGTTGCGCGCCAACTGCAACAGCATTCGCAGCGGCTACGCTATCGTCGCTGAAATTTTGTATCGCTGGCGAGGCCTCGAATTCGGCTGATTCGCTAATTTGCATGCAAAGCGCATCTGCTGACAATGGAAGGTTGCAATTGTTTGTGCCGGCACTGACGTTACTGTCAGCGTGTTCGTGCTCGTCCGCTATGACGGCCAACGGTTGATTCGGAGCGCACAATAAATCGAAGGTCTTCGTATCACAAGCGAAGTTTTGCGCTATAGTGCAAGCCCTGCGGCTCGCCGTTAGTTTATCGCTACCATTGTCGTCATCATCATCGAAACTAATTAGATCCTTAACTACTTCGGAAGCGGCTACTGTCGCGTCCATTGGTGTATCACAGTTGTTTGGCTCGGCGCAAGCCACGCGCTCTGTAGTGAGCAAACTTAGCGCTCCGCACCATTCAGACTCCGGGTCATTCCCCAGCGTTTTCTCACTGCCGCTATTACTCTCCATCGACACTTGCATTTCTCCAAATCGTTCCGCCGCTCGCAAGGCACAACTACTTGACGACTGTGTCGTCGCGTCTTTAACGACTTGCTTTTTATTCACCGAAGCGTACGCGGGCAGTAATGATAATGTCGGCAGCGGAATGCAGCCGATTTTATTGCTACGACTATTGCTTACACTACTGCTGGTCCCACTGCCAGCACAGCTACCGCCATTTGTGATTGCAATGCTACGATTATGAAAGATTTTTACGCTTTGCATTGGTAATTTGTGACGATTTTGCCGATTACGTGCCGCCAATGCAGAGGCAAAGTTGAGGCAATGCTTGCGATGGTAACGGCGCGTGTACTTATTGGCAATACTGTAGACAGGATCGTCTAATGGCGTGGGCGATTCATTGGCTCGTGCCGTTTTTGGTATGCCGCCCCAGTCCACGAAGGCGCTACGACGACCGGAAGTCCTGAGTAAACGCTGTAAACGTTCTGCGGCTAAAGCACGTCGGCTTTGATTGCTTTTGAGCGGATAGACTGCTGAGGCATACTGACAGTTGCTATTGCGCATGCGCGTCGCAGCATTTGCTTGACATCTGGCGGCGTATACTTCATTCATGCATTTCGCGCAGCAGAGAAATTCGTAGAGAATTTCATCTTCGGCAGTGGAGTTGGGCGGAGTGAATGTAGAGTATTTCGGTTCGAACTCCTCCTCATCGTCCGCAAACTGCTGTGGCGACACTTCGAGCAACGCTTCGTCTAATTCGCGTTCTCGCTCCTCCTCCTCTTTGTCGATCGTAGTGTGGTCTACATTGACTGGCAAGTCAGTGATTGCGCGCGGCTTGTTTGTTGTCACAGGCATTAGTATATAAGTATTTTTAACTTGTTTCTCCTCGGCGCCACAGCCATGCGTCACATTTGGTGTGACATTCTGCGCTGTGTTCTCTTTATTGCCATCCGTATCGACGACGGCGCCTTCACCAATACTACCACCATTACTATTTACAATCGAACTTTCGATGCTAATGCCACTGTCTAACAGCACGAATGAGCCGTCCGCGGGCAATATGAGTCTACCTTCGGCGGCGGCATTCACCAGTTCGCGCAGCGCTAGCACCTGTTTCTCGGTCACGTTTCCCTGCAATTGTATGCCGTGGAGCGCGAAAGCTGTGGGTTGTTTATTCACTGAATTTGGATCGGTGCACCACACGACCGGCATGCTTGCCATTTTGGTGGCGCTTGCTGCAGCCGCCACAACGGATGCTGTTGCCGTGGCCGTTGCTGTGGCTGTGGCAGTTGCAGTGGCGTATGCGGATGCACAACTGTGTCGCCTGCTCGAAATGCTTTCGGTGCGCATGTGTGTTTATGATATCGCTAATTGCGCTTATTTTAACTGTAAACACGTATTGTCATTGGCAAGTTTTGGAATCGAAGCAGTCAATATATTTATCTATTTATTTGGATTGCTATTGCTGTTGTTTTACCGCTAACTACTATTAGTACTTTAACGTAGTGTTAGTTGTTTTCTAGTATGTTTCTCCATACACAGTTGTCCTCGTTTATTCTTTATTTATCTTTTTTTTTCAGCATTATAAATAACGCGTGTTGCTATAATACGCTGAGATAGGGAAAGAGTATGAGAATCTAATTAATGGAAATGTTTCTTTAAGGAAAAGCACAAATTCGTGCGATTATTTTTGCTGTTTCGTGACACTTTTTGTTGTTTGTTGTTTGCAGATCACTTTCTAGAACCAGGGAGTAATTAAGTGCTTGTGAAAAAAGAATGTGTGAAATGTAATTAGTGAAATCAACGGATTTAAGCCCTGTGGAACACAAAATCATGTTTATCGTACCATGTATTGTCTCGACGATAGACCACTCAAATATTCGAAATTTTTAGGAAAGATTTTCATGATGAGCTTAAATATACACAAATAAAAGCCATTTTTTTAAAATATCGAAAGTAAATTTACTTAAGGTCGAAAAAGAGATCAAATTTTTCAGTAAATTGTCAGACAATATCGTCAAAGACTTCAGACCGATCTTTTGCTGAGGAAACCATTAAGCTATTAAAGACAAGATAGAAAAGTGATATACATTTTAATTTATTTCTATTCCCCCATCTGTTTTAACAGACCCGAAAAATGTTAAAAACTACATGAGAATTCTACTCGTGATAATATGATTAATTAATAAAAGGTCATTGCACAGCTCATAAACATGAAACTACACCCAAAACCTGTCCTAAAATAACTAATTTATCTATTTCATTTCCTAATTGATTATACTTGTAATATGATACAGCAGCTGCCTTATACAAGACGCCTCCGAAAGCGGCGAATCGAACAGACTGGTATAAATTCACATCGTTGGTAAAATCATAGCTAAAAGGAATTGCAAAATAATATTTCTTTCAAAATACAAAAAAAAAACGAAATGCGCCTTTCCTTTTAGTTTAACTGAAAAAAAAATTTTTCGTGTCCACAGCAAATTTTTTTTTAGTAAACGAGTACAACTCGAACTTAGCGAGTAGGCAAGTGGTGTGGAAAGCGGCTGCTGTTTAAAGCGAAAAAGAATAATAACCAGCATCTGATAAAATATTATTATATTACATTATTTAATAAATAAAAACTTTTTAACTGTGATTTTTGGCTACAAGTTCGGTAATATAAGAAAAAATAACTTCGACTGCAACGAAACTATAACACTCTTCACAAGTACAGTTTTTGTAGCATTAAAGGATATAAAAAGATTTTTATATTCATTTTCAGTGATAATTTTGTGTGGCAGCTATATGCTATAGTTGTTCGATCTGAACAATTTGTTCGCAGTTTGCAGCGATGCCTTGGGTAATAATCTATGCCAAATTTCGTGAAGATACCTTGTCAAATTTAAAAGTTTTCTAAACTCGAAGTTTGATCTGTCAGTTTGTATGGCAGCTATATGCTATAGTTGTCCGCTATCGGCCATTCTGACACAGCTCCTTAGTGAGAAAAGGACTTTTGGGTGCTACAAACATCGTGACAAACCTAATATACCCCGTTCAGGGTATAAAAGTATATTCTTGTATAAATGACAACTTAGCGTCAATAAAAATCATTGTCACTTGCAAAGTTCAAAATATGCTGCAATAAGGCTAAGCAAACGACAATGACAAGCCATTGTTCACACCCACTAACTAAAGCAATGTAACACATTTGTAGCGACACTTCAATTAACGCATGTAAAATGCTGTAGTGTGCAATATAAATACAAACATACAATATTATAGATTTAACACACTATTTTATTGCGAAAATGGCAAAATGGCAAAAACCGGCTGAGAAGAGGTAAATGACTGATTTCAATGTGAGAGAGCGGTCAAAGCGTTGACAGATTGCAGTCATTATTTTCGGCAAACTGTCTCGTATTTACATATATACACACGCTGTGGGAGTGTGTGTATAGTGGACGTATGTTCAAGAGCGTGGATTGCGCAGTATTCTCCACGTCACGCATGCGCTCCTCTTTTTACCGCCATTCGGTAATAATATAGGCCGGTCGTTAAGGGATAGCAGCGCTTATAGATACACACCTGTATCTATATATAGCGAGCACTTTCATTCATTTATTCGTTGCGCATGCACGACGCTCAATATGATGTATTTGAGCAGCTAAAGTTGGCGTGGTCAATCGGGCGTTCATTCGCTTCAGGAATAGTTTTTTTTTTTAGTTTACATAATTCTTTTTTGGTTTTTGAATTTAATTCATGGTTTTTTTACCTTTTCCTTTTTAGTGATTCCACAGTCTATGGTAAATGGTACAAAATACTCGATTAACAACTCGCCAGTGAATGAACGCCAATGTAGCAAAATATGTATGTACATACGTTTTATCTATATTTTTTCAGCTCAAAATTTTAAAATATTTATTTTGCTTGTGTGGGACTCCATTTGTACAGCAAAACAAATAAGCTTCGTTTTACGAGCGCTGTCTTCGTTAAGCACATTGTAGTTTCAAAAATAATTTATTTTCGTTCTTATGCAATTAGCGGAAGAGTCATCAATCATCGAGCTGGCGACAACTTCATCCAATACCTAGAAACAATTCGAAAGCCACGATTTTTTAGAGCTTTAATAACTGTTATGAAAGCAGACTTTGTGTGTGGGTGGCCCGTGTTCTATTGACATGAAGCGACAGTGAAACACGGTAGTAATTACATGAGTTCAGTTCCAGACATTCAGTTAGATAAGGCAGCAATAAAACTAGTTGGAGATATGAAGTTCTAACATATGAATATGTAGCAGAGATAGTAAGTTAAAATACGAAATATTCGCGAAGTAGAATTTGAAATTTCATATTTAAAAACATTGTAGAAGAATATTATAATATTCAAGCCTACTATGGGCTCATAGCTAAGCATAAAGATAGGAGCAGATGAAAAAGCAAACATTCTTTCTCAACTCACTTTTTAGGGAGGTTTGTCTCTTCTGTCCTATAAGAACATAGTTTTAAGGCATGATACACCTAGTGCTTGTAGAATTGCAGTTATATATATTTATAATTAAATTGTTGACGATTTAGGACAACAACTGATCATCCTAATAATACAGGTACTGATTTTAACCGTAAATGAAGTCGGTCTTACTTTCTGTAGCTTTGACTTGAAGTATTTAAGATCAACTAATTGATGCTTGTACTTGCTGAGAAATGTTAATAATAATGTGCAGCTTTTAAGAAATGAATTTCTAAAACCACGTAAGAACGTACCGATCTTAATATCACAGGGAGTAAAATTCAAAATTAGAATTTAAGGATCTAGGATTCTTATTAAATACCTTAATCTGGAAATTGTCTCTAAATATTTGACAAGAGCAAATTGAAGAGTCAAAAACGATTGACCTCTTTTTTTTTTTTTTTGAAGTGAATGAAGTGGAAATTTTCTGGAAAATAAAAACGAAAATCTAAAATAGTAAAACGGTTAAAAATACACTTGTGTCTCTGCTATACTGCTTTTTACGCAGCGATGTAACCCTCAACATGAGACTTGAGACATTTATAAATTGCAACTAAAAATATAATAAGAAAACAAACAAAATGCTATTATAATAAATCTATATAGACAGAGGGTTTCACTCGAAACTTGCTCACGTCGCAATCAAACACACGTATTTACAAACACTGAACACAAAAGTGGCGACATCCTTTCATAAACTCCATAAACCCATTTGCGTCCAAAACTGAATTAGCGAGTATTAGCATAAAAATGTACCTTTGCGTACACAACAAAAGCAACTTCGCTTACAAAATCATGTCGGCTGCATCGATCAATGATCAGTGTCAATAATGCAGAAATATTAAAAAAGAAATCTGCTGACCATTTAGTTGTTTGAACGAACTGATTGAAGGGTTAACCAACTAGTTGATCAGTGAACGACTAACGAGTGGACTTTGTTTGCCAACGAGTTGTTGACATTGCGTTTTGCTTTTGATGTTTTTGAAAATAAAATAAAGTTGTTTCGTTTTTTTCCGAGATTTGTTTATTTTTCAGAACGTTGCAATAATAAAAATCGGCAACTTTTTGCAACAAATTTGCGCTATGTACACTAACATATATATACAAAACAAAGACTATGTAAACATAAACATAAACACTGAAATACAGCGATAAACATAAAAGCTAACCAAACAAAACAAACTTGCAGCAAAAAGTTCAGAGTTAACAGAGTTTCCATTTATATAAAAATGCAGAAAATGCAATTCGCGCAAATGTCAATGTCAAAGCATAACTATTTTGCATGACAAACAAAGTATAAATAAATATCACTACAAAAACAACAAAATCATCGAAAATAATATATTTTTCTTTTTGTGCGAAAAAGTGTATTTACATATATGCGCAAATTTGGCCCATTGCATAGAAAAACCTAATGATGTGTGGGTTTTTGTAATTTCTGCATAAAGTAAAAAATTAACGAAAAATTACTAAAAAAAAACAGTAATTAAAAAAATTAAAAAAAAAGTAAATTAAAAAATTTAAATAAATCGTTCTTAAAGTTCATTTCAAATAAAAACCCTCAAACGAATGTTATCATTATAGCTAAACTTATACCTTTTTCACTTGATGCAATGGCGTTGCACGCGCCATTGACTAATTAACCACACAATCTACAAGTACTTGACACTTTTTCTACTAAAATAATGCAGTAGCTAATGGGCCTCTAGTACGATTAACCTATTAATGCCTGCTATAAAATTCTGCATAGAAGCAATTTATATAGGCAAGGCGAAAAGTTGCAATGAAAACTGGGGTCAAGCTATTAAAATGTAAAAAAAAAAAAAAAATTATAATCATAAAATAATAATTGGTAAGAATGTTCATGTCAAGGGGGTCAAAATTAAAAAATGTCTATCAGCTACAATAACGGCAACACCATTTCCGTGCAAGATTTCATGAATCAAGACTTAGAATAACCAAAATTCAAAAACTCACCAATGCAGCTAGTTATGCAATAATTCTGTCAAAGAGATATAGCCCACATCTATTAAAACCTTGTTAAATAAGCTTTGAAAAAGCTATGCATTTAAGCACTTCTGCATTAAATATTTAAATACATTTGAAGTAATGCAGCAACTGTA